CTGTCCCAAAAATAAATAAACGTTGAAAAAAAATAAATAAAATTTGGATTTAAAAGTCATTTCTATAAAAGTTAATTAGCTCTTTTTGTGGTGTTCCTTTTGAACGACATTCAGGGGAAATAGGATGGTCTGAGCTGACACAAAATATTAGATGACTTCGCAATAGGGAAATTATTTTCTTTATGGCTGTGGGTACACTAACACTGTTAACTAATATTAATTAACTGCCTGGAGAGAAGCCCCCCACCACTGCATGAAATTAGCATGATACTCACCTACCAAGTCCCGGGGCTGTTTGCCTGTACTGATCAGGAAATGAAGGAAATAAATAAAGGTTTTTGAACCTCACTGGAAAAATAATATTTTCTCTGATACTTTTTAAACTAGAAAGCAGTACTTAATCTTAGACAGTGTTTGCTGCCCCATTCTGCCAATCTGTGGAAAAATAGGAAGCCTGGATGTCTCTCCCTGTTCCCAGACACCCGATAAGGTCCTCTCAAGCAAGTCCCTGGCTGAGCCCCCAGCTGTTCCATATTTCTCTGCCTTTCTTTCTCCTTCCCTGTTAGGCTCTTGAATGTGCATACATCTGTTTAAGAGAGCAGAAGAATTTGAAAGTAATTAGTGTCTTTCTTGGAAGACTATTTATTCATTTAACCAACATTTTATTTGGCATCTACAATGAACTTAGGAAATATAGAAGTTCTGAAACATCCTTCAAATTGGCAGCTTCCACAGTGAGGGACTATTCCAAACTGAAAACTAGCAACTGCCAGAAATTAAATTTAAATCAAATTGTGCATACCTTAGTCATAAGAATGTAAGTTTTGTTTCTTCAATTTTATTAGCAGTAGTCATTCTAAGGCAATATTTTCACTACCAGAGGAGACTTGAGCCCAGCATGCCCCCTAGTGTGGTTTCCTTATCTTTCCTTGGTTTGGGGGCTTGGAATCCCAATTATGTAAAGATTAACCTTCCAAGAAGCAGCAGAATGTCCACCATCAGATTCAATTTACTCTGTTGGCTCTAACATTTCTAGGGCAAGAGAAAAGATGACAACAATACAAAGACAAGCCATGAGTGAGCTCTAAT